CATAAGTAAGTATTTCAATTTCTTTCGCTAGCATAGATTTTGACCAAACAGATTTAATTGCAAAAAAGGTAGGTAGGCAGGTAGGTCAGCCAGAGAGATTGGTGTGTAGTCCCGAAAAACATGCGGCAAAAATACTCCAGTATGGTCTCTATAATCATACAAACACAAGGATCAGTACGACATCAATAAATTAATTATCTAAGCTAAACTCAAATAGGAGACTAAAGTTAAACTCTTAACTCGTGTAACATGTACTTCTCTCAGTTTTGCTTATAATTCATTGAATTTGTCCTTTATAACATTTTAATACATAATTTCCCTTTAGAATGCCTTTGTATGGATGAGAGAAGCACCCATTCTATATACATGCTTGTTGAGTACAAAAACACTATTGGTATAATTCCCAATAAAATGCTGTTCTTAAACTTAAACCTTGATTTGAAAATCCCAATGAATTACTTTAATAAAATTGGAATGCTTAAGTCTGTCAGTTTTGGGGACCCTGATAACATCTTTGGAAACCGAAACCTTTTTATAGCTCCCGATGTCCAAAAAGCCACCAGTTCTGTATGTGTGTGATCATGTTTTAATACATGGTGGAACCTCCATACAGTTATCCCACTTAAACAATATTTTTTTTCAGAACAACTAGGAATGAAATAGGAGAAACAAAATGAATTACTACTGTTCTAAAGTGCTTTGTTTAATACAGGTTTCGGAAGAGTTGTCTTGCTGTGTTGCAAGTGGTCTCTGATAAGGAAGGGACAGCAAACTGTAGACATATGTTATATTAAGATGCCCTCACTTGTCAGGTCTTGGAAACCCACTTATTTTATTGCAGATGCCTCTATGATACCACGTTACAAATTGACTAAGCATACTTATTATTATCCTATTTTATTTTAGTTATTTCACATTGCACAGCCTATGCAAACAATGTCTAGGTCCCAACTTCAGCTTGTACATCCTCTAAGAGCCAGCATTAATATTGTTTTATCTATATATATAAAATATTAAAAACATGAACCATCTGTTTATTAGGCTGAGGTTGTTGGGTGTAGGTTGAAATCTGTGGTTGGTATTGAGGAACCTGCCAGGGTGGGTCCTTGAACGCCAGCTGGGCCAGGTTCTCCCTTAGCACCGGGTCCTCCTTTGTCTCCTTGAGCACCAGGTTCACCATTGTTACCCTTAGGTCCAGGAGCACCACAGGCACCAGGGAAGCCAGGGACACGAGCAATACCAGTGGGGCCAGCTTGACCGGGAGAACCGGGTTCACCACGAGCACCTTGGGGTGAATCCCTGCTATCCATAAGTAAAACAGTGCTGAAGTTACCACCTCTACAAAAGTTAGATCCTTTGATCAAATCCTCTACCTCTGCCTCTAAAACTTTTCTGATTCAATCTCCTATCACCTCCCAAATGTCCTTGTCTCGTCTGCTTAAGATCACAATCCTTTGTGATCGATACAACATACTTTCCCCTCTTTCTTTATATCAAAACAACCTGCTGTATCTTTCTCAGGAATCTTCCCAAGAAATTCAGTTGGGGTCAATGAGGGCCAGTCACAGACCAACAGTTTAACCAAAGGTGAACAAGGAGGAAGCATGTTCCATATGCAGGTCGAGCTGACCTAACTCACACCCCCTCTTTGTGTACACCTCATTGTGTACCACACAGATATAATCTTAATAAGCTTTTGAAGATTTATTGTGTTTGTATAGCAAAGTTGTCTAGGGGTGTATATATAAACAGTGAAAGCAGAGTCTTCATTTAGGGTTTGCAATACTGACAGTCTGGGTCATAGGTGTAATGCAGACATGCGGTTAGGTACTTTTCCATTGTCAGAATACACTGAAAACACTAATATATTGCAAATATTAAAATCATATTGCAGCTGTTTCCTACACTTGCAAGCATATGGTTGTAATACTTCAATTGAGTTCAAATTGAGTATCAAAAATTCTAACCACAAAAACTAAATTTTATATGCTTATCAAAAATGAGTTTAATCCCTTAGCAATTTAATAGGGTGACCACTTCCCATAGTATGGTTCCTTTTATAATTATTATATTATTTATTCTCTTCTGGGTCTGCAAAATGCTTTACATATACCAAAACAAATATAATACAGTAGTTAAGAATTGCCTCAAAAGAAATTATCTGATCTCTATTAAAAATACCATTTCATCATTTTGATATAATCAATGAGGCATACTAGATGAATCTTAATCTTGGAAAAAACCTATCCTATACATCCATAATTTTTTCTTGTTATGTAACCATATAACATAAGAATTGTTTATGTTAAAGATAACACATTTTTCATTGTCTTAAATAATGCAATGCACTTTAAAAGTAGAGTTAACTCTAAATACTCCCCTAATAATACAGAGAGAGAGAGAAAGCCATTTAAAATTGGAAACGTGGCTCCACGATTTTGAAAAGCAGAGGATTTTTTTTCTTTTCTTTCCCAGGGGCCCCTTTCTTGTCGGCTGATCAGCGTTTTTTAATCTGTTGTAAAAAGACACTAAAGGCTTGCGTTAATGACATGCAAATATTCTTTAAATATTCTTCATACTCATTGTAATATCACACGTCATCTTATAACACAGAAAACAACGAATGTAGCAGATATCCAGCAGACATGCCAATACAAAAAGCATATTCATGGAGAGGCAATTAACTCAATCCAAAATAAATTAATAAATGTAATGTAGGTTCCCATGTTTGTGCATTATGCATGGCTGCAAACTATGCAAGCAGTACTGCTTTAAGATTAGATCAGAGCACCTGGCAACTGGACAGGAAAGTCTAATTTTGGCAAAAAGTCCATTATTGCAACAGAATTTGGGAAATAAGCTAAAACTTACAAAAACAGCCTCCCTCCTTTTTTTTTCTTTCTTAAGACTACAACTTATATTGCTCTTGGACTAGCATTCAATAATAAATCAGTTATTTAATAGATTATTATGCTGCCATTTCCATCTGTATCAATACTGAGACAAACTTATTCAAATATAATTTAAAATAACACAGCAAAATATCCATTAACATACATGACAATTAAACTACATACTTCAAAATTAGTAACCAAAACACATATTTAGCACAATCACCATTCACACAGAATAAACTTTTAACAGCTGTATTCAAAACATATTATTGTAAGGTACACCAAATTTTAGTTTGTATCAGTTTATTTAAGAGTTCTGGTACCAAAGGGTTTATTTTTTTTCTTTTACGGCCATATAACGCGTTTGACTTAAACATTTGTATAACACTTGTATTAACCAGTTGCAACATCTGTACCCTGTCAATAGAATTTCTCTCTTATGCGCTTATAGAACATTTGGACCAGATTACACAGACATGGTATCACCTGCATTTGTCAGAACTCTCAAAGACTCAAATCATGTTAGTTCTAGAATTTGTAGCCCCCCTTAAATAACCTCTTTTTTTTTCTTATTCATCATCACCTTTACATGTACTTTTTACATTCCCTCAATTAAGACTTTATGCTTAAAATCAGCTTTGCACATCATAAAATAGCACATAAATTAGCAAGCCGGAGTAATACCAAACATCCATCATACAGGGTTTAAACAATATTCCCTTTTAACCCCCCCCCCTTTTTTTTCCTCTAAACCATTTGATTCTACAAAACCCACATGTACATGACATCACATGACATGACAGCCTGTCAAAGGCTTGAAAATCTTTTTACCACCTGCCAAAGGTGAACCTCTACCAAAGAGGAATTCACAATTGTGCACGATACTGCCTGCCAAAGGCTTTCCTCCAACCCAAGGAGTAATAAAAGTCTAGCTAAGACTTAAAAAAAATCATATTTATAAAGACACTATGCAGGGGGCGTGGCTTGACCGGGAACCGAGCTGGACGTGCAAGCCTAGAGCTCCTCGCTGAACCCCTGTTCCAAACGCTTACAATCGCAAAAAACCACGGAAAACCTACCCATCCCGACTCCTAATCCACCATGGACAAGCGTCTGCCGAGAAAACCGGCCAAAAAACACGCAGACACGGCCGCCACAGTACCTGAACTTTTCGCGGCCTCCCGCACGCCGCGCCAGGACACACAAGATGGCGGCGGATACAGCCCACGAGCCCCTAGCTCACCAGCAAACTCGAGCCCTCCTCAGACCCAAGGCTCCAACGCATCAGAAACTGCCCACATACTGACTGAGCTGGCGGCGGTGAAAAGCTACCTCGCCCGGGAGATTGACCGGAGCTCTAAGGCAGTGATGTCGGAAATTCACAAGCAGGGGGAACGTACGGCCGACCTAGAGCAGCGCGTGGAAACGACCGCAGTGGCCCACAACACGGTGGCTGCGCATGTGAACACCCTCACCGCCAGACTGGAGGCCTCGGAGGCAGCGCTCGAAGACCTGGCAAATAGGTCGCGCCGCAACAACATCCGCGTGCGCGGCCTGCCAGAGCAACAGGACGAAGGCCCAATCGCCCCCATGCTCCTCGCACTCCTCAGACCTCTCTCACCAGAGATACCGGAAGAGCAGTGGCACATCGATCGGGCCCACAGGGCCTTACGCGCCCGGAGGGACGACAACGCAAGACCCAGGGACATTATAGTCCGTTTTCTCCACTTCCAGACAAAGGAAGCGGTCCTGAGGAAAGCTAGAGAAAGCCCCATAACGTACAAGAACGCTGAAATCTCCCTGTTCCAAGACTTGGCCCCCATCACCCTCCAACGCAGAAGGGAGTGGAAGCCAGTCACAGAGCTACTCAAAACCAACGCAATAAGGTACGCCTGGGGGCATCCCTTTAAATTACTGGTCTTTAAGCAGGGCAGATCCCATATTCTCACGCCAGGCACGGACCCCATACCCTTCCTCCGCGCATTGGGCATCACAGTTCCAGAGAACTTCCAGCTGCCCAACTCAGCTCTCCCGGCCCTACAACCCCTACCGCGCGATTGGTACATCGCCGTGGAGTAAACAGCCAGCAAACGGCCACCCACACCCATGGCAGACCCAACCTCCCGGGAACTAGTTCACCGGGCCTCAGCCACCAACACCATGACGCCCTACCCACCCTCAGCACCCACCAGAAACAGAACTCCAGATAACAGACCTACAAGGACTCTCAGCCCACTGAGCGGACTGAAACGGCAACGCCTGGTGAAGGTGCCCCTCACTACGATGGACTCCTGCTCCGAAATCACCCCTGCTGCATACACAGCTCAACGGACTCTTCCCCTTGACCACAACCAACACATGACTCAGGAGCACCAAGGACCTCCGCGGCATTCACGGCATCCTCCCCGCCAACAGCATCGAAGATAACCCACACTATGGACTTGTCCAGAGACTATTGCTAGCTTCTTGATATCACAGCAAGTACCAGTTCAAAGATACCGCAACTTAGACACTAAAGGGGAAAGTAAAGCACTTTTGGGACACTCACGTACAGTCACATAACAGTCACCCAAGGCGCACACACCACGCAAGTACAACTCACTAGTCTAGACACCAATTCGCTACACAACCTCACTACACAGAGACCAAGCTTCACGACAGGGACCACACCACGCGTAGAGAAAGCACACACACAGATGACATGGGTTCGTGGGCTGTGGTGGGGGGGCGGGTGGCGGGGAGCGGGGCACTGGCGCGGAGGGGGCACAGGGACCATCTAAAGTGGATGTTATAATAGCAAAGGTGGTGGATGTAACTGTGTTTTAGTGTCTCGGACTTGCATTGATATGTATTGCTATGTGTCGTCCTGCGCGGCCGCCCGGGCCGGCCCCTTCTCCTCCCCCCCCCCCCCCCCCGCCCTGCCTCTCTCCCCCCGCGTCCCCCCCTCCTCCTCCCCCTCCCCCGTACGGACGCCCACTTAATAGACTGGTGACTGTCTCTTGCAACCGGTCCCTCCCCTCCCCGCACCCTACTGACAGGGGTCACACCTGAAAAGCAGCAAAAGGGATTATAAAAATAAAAAAAAAAAATACAAAAATTATATGATATAGAAATAAAAGACTTGCCCCGGCACAATGGTGCCTACAAACAGGAGAACCATCGTAGGCCAGGAAAAGCTACCTAAACGGGTTACAACTGCCCATAACCCCCCCCCCCCCTGCCCTACCCCCCCCTCCTCCCCATTTCGTGGAAAACACCGCTAAGCGGCTACTCCCAAGAGCTCCCGGCTCCACTAAAGCACAAAAACAATACAAACCCCAAGAACCAGGGGCAGGGAAGTCGAATCGCCCAATAGACCATCAACTTGTATGCTGCACACTAAAGATGCAACAGACAAATGACATATGGCAACAGGGGACCACACCGGAAAATAGGTTCATGACCCAACACTCCCAGACTGATGCAGTCACGGGGAAGACCAGGGTACATGCACCCCCCAACGGTCTGGCACGGAATAAGACCAGACTAATACGGCAACGCCGTATCACATCCTTTCCAAAACTCCTTAGACCCTCACCCTCCCCCACCCACCTACCTCCCCCACACTCCCCACCTACCCTAGGCCCTCATAGGTCTTGGACGAAGATAGAGGCGCAACGGTTACACCCCCAACCACACACCCACTCAGCTACACAAAGGAACAGAGGTGGGAGTCGACCCCATACCCCGCTGCACAACCACACCACTCAAGCCGCAATGAACCACCACAGCCACCTGACCGTCCAGAAGGACAAAAAACGCTCACCGAAACCTCTAGATCATGGCTCTTAAGGTATCCTCGCTCAATGTTAAAGGCCTCAATGCTCCTCGCAAGAGGAGAACACTGTTCAAGGAGCTGAAAAGGTTAAATCCCGACATACAGGAGACTCACCTGTCTCGATCCGCCCAGGTCTCCCTCCGAGACAACACATACCGCTTAGCCGCAGAGGCTCGATCCTTCCGCAAACAGAACGGAGTGGCGATACTTACACATAAACGATGCCCAATTCACATAGCCCAGGTGACGTTAGACCCAGATGGTAGATATGTTCTAGTCACAGGCAGGATTCATTCCCAACCAATCCACTTACTCAACATCTATGCCCCCAACACACCTACACCCCAATTCTGGAACCAGATGTCAGACGTAGTCCTTGCGCTCCCCTCCGGGATAATCCTCCTGGGGGGAGACCTGAACGCAACCCCAGCTCCAGCAATAGATAGAAGCACTCGCCCAGGACTAATTAGGTCTCATGGCATGAGACAAGCTATTACGCCACTTTATCCGCAAGACAGGCCTCATAGACGCATGGAGGGCTCATCACCCCTCTGTTAAGGATTACACGTACTACTCGCCACCCCATGACACATACTCACGCATAGACATGTTCTTAACTAATCACGCAGGCTAAACAAAAACACAAAAAACGGAGACAGGAACCATCGCATGGTCAGACCATGCGGACGTCGCGATCCATCTCCAAGGCATCCAGTGCCCTACCCCATGGACATGGAGGCTAAACACATCCCTCCTTAAAGACCCCCAAGTAGTAGAGGACATACAGAAACAGCTAACTACATACTTCGCAGAAAACCTAACACCAGAACTCCCCATGACCAAAGTATGGGCGGCCCATAAAGCAGTGATTCGTGGCTCCCTTATCAAAATAGCAACCTACAAAAAGAAACAAAAAACGCAGAAACTCACCCAACAGTTAGAAACCCTCCGCACAGCGGAGCAATGCCACAAAACCGACCCAACCCCCCATACGTTACAACGCCTCCAAACCGCCCGCTACAATCTCAGACAACTGCTTATAGACGATATGGCACGAGCTCTCACTTGGACGAAAAGAACATACTATGACAAATCCAACAAAATGGACACACTATTAGCCCGCACACTACGACCCAGAACCCAACACCCACACATCACCAAGATAAGGGCCCCAGACGGCTCACTGAAAACATCCCCAACAGAAATAGCACAAGCTTTCTCAACCTTTTATTCAACACTATACAACCATTCCCCCCAAGACGACACGTCGATCACAGCGACGAAACAGAAAACAACCGACTTCCTCAACCAACTAAACTTACCAAAACTACACACTGCAGCCACAATGGAATTAGCAGCACCAATCTCTAAAGATGAAATAAACATAGCCATCTCCTCTCTTAAAAGCAATAAAGCCCCCGGCCCAGACGGTTTCGAAGGCAGCTACTACAAAACCTTTAGGGAAACACTCACCCCACATTTAGAATCCTTATTCCAAGAACTTATGACGGGAACCCCACCAGACAGGGACATGACACGGGCAAACATTATTTTGCTACCAAAGCCAGGTAAAGACCACACCCAACCAGAGGCATATCGACCTATCTCACTCATAAACCACGACAGCAAAATCTTCGCCAAAATCTTAGCAGGAAGACTAAACCCATACCTGACAAATCTAGTTCACGCCGACCAAGTAGGATTCATACCCGGACGACAACTATTCGAAAATACGAGACGCTACATAGACATAATATGGCTGCTAGCCAACAAAAAAACGCCATCCCTAGCACTTTCCCTGGATGCTGAGAAAGCATTTGACCGTGTGAAATGGCCCTACATGTTCACCCTCCTAGAACATCTAAACATACCCCCCCCATATATAACAGCTATTCGCGCACTATACACTTCCGTTTCGGCACAAATAAAGATAACCGGGACAAATAGCCCACCATTTAATATATCCAACGGTACCCGACAGGGATGCCCCCTATCCCCCTTACTCTTTGTGCTGACACTGGAACCACTCCTCCAAGCCATAAGGGAACACCCACAAATCAAAGGGGTCAAAATAGTTGACCAAGAATTTCTAGTCTCAGGATATGCAGATGACGTCTTGCTGACTTTAACGGAACCCATCTCCACGCTACAGGCATTGCTCCCACTCCTGACCAAATACGGTGAGATCTCAGGATACAAAGTTAACGTAGGTAAATCCAGCGCACTCCCAATACACCTCACACAGACGGACACGAATAAAATAACCTCAGATTACCACATACGAGTCACCCCAACCTCCCTCACATACCTGGGTATCAAATTACCGGCAGACATCGACGAGCTCCACAGGCTGAACTACACACCCATGATAGACAAACTTATTTCGGACTTGGAGACCTGGGCGGATAAACCCATATCCTGGATAGGGAGAATACACTCCATCAAGATGAACATCCTGCCCCAAATTCTGTTCCTCTTTCAGGCTATACCCATCCCTATCACAAAACACAATCTCATCCCCCTGCAGCGGGCGATAGACAGATTTATTTGGCAGGATAAAAGGCACAGAGTAGCCCGCAACATACTATACCGCCCCAGAACGAGAGGAGGCCTGGGTCTACCCCACCTACATTTCTACTACATAGCCGCGCAGATGGCACAAATAGCCCTATGGCATACCCTCCCAGAAACTAGAAGGTGGGTAGATCTAGAATCAGCATTAATGGGATCAGACCTCCCACAATTCTACATCTAGACACCAAAAGAGCATAGAGCACTACCGAGAACGGCGTGCCCAGCCATCACCAACTCAATCCAATTATGGGATACTTATGCCCTCAAATACGACCTAACCACTAAGACCTCCCCCCTCACCCCCATATACCGAAACAAGGCTTTCACTCCAGGTATGCGACCTTGGGAATTCAAAGGGCTAGAGTACGCTGGTCTTCAGAGAGCGTGCCACCTATACATGGGCGACACAATAGTCTCCTTTCCAGACCTACAATCTAGAGCAACCCTGAAACCAGCCGACTTTTTTCGGTATTTGCAACTAAAACACTACGCGGCCCAAACGACGGTAAAAACCGCCGCCAAAACCACTCCGACCTTCTTTGAGCGCATCTGCTTAGCGGAACAATACCATAAGGGCATGATCACCCAGCTCTACTCCCACCTCTGTTCCAACACACGGGACTGGGGAGACCTGCAATACACAGACAAATGGGAAGCAGACTTAGGGGAAACACTAGAGGGAATTGACTGGCAGGAAATATGGGAAGCCAATTCCAGAACCTCCATATGTGTCACGATGCAGGAACAGGCATATAAAACGATGCTACGCTGGTACGTCACACCGGTCCAACTATACCGCATGAAAAAAATACCCACGGACCTCTGTTGGCGTAACTGCGGAGAAAAAGGGACATACGCACATATGTGGTGGTACTGCCCCATAATTAAACTTTTCTGGGAAAACATCCAGAAACTAATAGCGCAAATCTTACATAGACCGATAGACACGAACCCATGGACATTCCTGCTGGCCAGACCCCTCGACGACCTACCCAGACCAGAACAACAATTGCTTAACAAGATAACATTAGCAGCT